CCATGGGATTTCACCAGTATCCACTCGTTTTGTGAGATTGAGCGCAATGGAGTGGTGCTGAGCTGCTAAAGGCCAAAACCGTTCTGGAAGACCGGCTTGCTCCAAGTTCGAGCGCGTACCCTCTAGTACGGTGCGGATTTCCCGTTCGATGACGGCCTTAGTTTCATCCACGTACTCTCTAGAGGTGTTGTGCCTACATCGGAGTTCCTTCACAGCTGCTCCTAACTCCGGCGCGTTGTCAGAGTAGATAACCCCAACTTCGTCTTGCGTACCGAAAAAGTGCAGAAGGTCCTCATGCACTTGTTCCGTTGATTTTGTTGCGCTAGGATACACATACCTAAATTGCGAAAACACATCTTTGATAACAAGCGCCACCCTCTCATCCTGAAATCCAAAGTCCCTCAGATCTCTTGTCACGAGATGATCAATGGTAACATGATCCCCATACTTTTCACTGTGTATGGTCGAAGACCCCCCCTTTCTTCGAGCTTGGGGAGATAGCATCTTCGCCTTTTGGCACACTTTGCAGAATGGGTTCTTAGGACGATGGCAGAATTGATGATGGATGCTTTCGGCCTCGGCGCGAAGCCGGGCTTCTTGCGAGATTTCCTTTCCCTCATCTTCTTCCTTGTCACTATCGGGCTCGATTAAGGGGTCGTCCTCGGGTCTTTTGAAAGCAGTAATCGACAGAATTGGCGATCCATCAATCTTTTGATTTTTAACCCTTAGACTTCTGATGTCAACAGAATCCTCAATCTTGCTCCAAGCAGAGTCCTTGTAGATCCAAGTGGTCCTTAGCACGAACCTTGGATGACGAGGTGCAGGTACTCGCAGAGCCTTTGGCCGATGACCAATAATGATCTTTGATGCGGCAATTTCACTGCTAGTGATCCAACCTGGCTTGGCTAAATCTTTAGGCTTGATTGCAATTGGCGGTGCAGCATTGATTGCTTCTTCTATCTCGGAGTCGCTGTGGACGACTCTTTCATCCCCGGCCGGTCCTCTCGGACGGCTTTCTACTGGAAACCCGAAGATTCGTCCTCCGCAGGTGCCGCCAGTTCAACCTTGACTGTACCGGCGTTAAACACCTGAGTTCCAGCAGATTTCTGGGAATCATCAGCGCTTGCTGGGCTCGCTACCGAGTCATCATTTGAGATCACTGGGACTCTACCCTTCATCTTACACTTGATGACTTTACCATCGGGAGCTATAAAGTATGGAACCTTGCCCGCAGGCCAATGGAAATCATATCCATCGTCCATGCATCTTCTCCCAACAGAACACACCGGTGGCGTGCTTTCCAGTAGATAGCACTCAATGTTTTGCTTCAGTTCAGGCATCGGGATGTTGGTTGACTTGATTCCCTGAACTGGACCATTAGCTGTAATCAAGTTGACCGGCCTACTAGCGTTTTCGATGGGAGCCTCTGGGTAGTAGATAGAGTGATCGTGCCTACTGATCAGATCTTCTTCACTGCCAGTATCGGCGAGGAATTCTAATCCCGCATTAAAGCTAGAGCATGCTGTTCTTTCCACGCTAGAACACAGCTCGCACTTCAACACTGCAACTGGGATCTCACCCTCTTCGCAGTCATCTGTGCACTCGTACTCACAGTGGCTTTCAATCCCATTGAGCATACAGGACATGATCCTGGCAAGCTCGTTCGCTGTTCTTATGGCCGTGCTTAGGTCCTGAACTGGAGGCTTTGGGCAGCTTTCAGCATCCAAGTAACAAACTTCGAAAGTTCGCGGTTTGGTCCTATGCTTCTTACCCTTACCATCCAATGGAATCTCCCGAATGCTTGGCTTCTCCTTGAACCTTAATTTCTTGAACGTTCCTGAAGCATCACCCTTAACGCCTTGCCCATTGGGCACAGCTGCCAGCGCATACGAAATGCAACAAGCTGCCGTGCGTCCGCCAGACTTTTCCTTGCTCTTGGACCTGCCCCTTTGTTTCTTTTCCTTCTTTGCTTTAGGATCCGGGGTCGGGCTCCTAGGCTTTTCATCGTTCTTCGCAGGGGCGGCCTGCTCAGTAGGAGCGGCGTCAGTTGGATTGGGCTTATCTTGATGCAGGAACCTACAGTCTTTGCCTTTGTTGCACTTGCCTTTCTTCCAAAAGGTGCAAATCGCGTTGATCTTCTTCTGAGGCGTTCGATGAGGACTTGGGGATCTTGACTTTGGTTTGTGGAGAAACTTACACTTGTCGCCTCTTGTGCATTTTCCTTTCTGGAAGTCGTAACAAACCTGTTGTGTTTTGGGACTCTGAGATCTAGGCGGTGTTCGTTGGCTCGATCCTTTGCTGCTTGTTCTGGATTTTGAGCTACTTCGGGACATGCTTCTTCCACGGCCTCCTCGTGAAGAGGGGCGACGTTCAGATCCGTACGCTGGGGCCCCGTATCTATCGCCATGCGACTTAGCGATGCGGTCACGGTTCTTACGCATCCGTTCTCTAGTTAGATGCTCCCTAATGGCATTGACGAGGAATTCATACGTGTGTACGGGGTTTCCTTCCTTTGCCCTGTCGTACAGCTGAAGATCGTACTTGATGTGGTGGGATTTCCGAATTTCCCTCAGCAAAATGTCCCTCAAGGTAACTTCATCCGGAACATGACTCATTCCAGCAATCACCGACTCGAAGTTGTAAAGGAAGGTAGCCAAGTCGTCCCCAACCAACTTCACTTTTAAAAGGTCTTCTACGCTATAGAGGCTTCCGACTTCTTCATTAGTCTTAAAGTGTTGATGAAACATCCACAATACTTGTCTTCCCCTGACGGCACGTCCTCCTGTGGCCTCTGTTTCTTTGAAGTTTAGGACTTGCCTTGAAATCTCTCCTCTAGCGACTCTGGTAAGTGCAGCCAACAACTTCGTGTCCAATGTTAAGAATTTCCCAGTGTCATGTAAGGACTTGAGGGTAGCCTCTTTGTCATATACTTCCTGCACCCAGCGAAATGCCTCATCCGGGCGATCGCTCGCAGCCCGCACAATCTCGCGGACCGAGATCCGCCACGATCGGTAGGTCTCTGGATTAGGGTAATCGGGAAGCTTGATACTTTCGGCTTCTTTCACCTTTGGTTTGCCCTCTTCACCTTCGGTCTTAGGGGTAAGCAAGCGTGCTGCCCTAATCAATGCCTCAGCTCCGAAATCAACATGTGGAACCCCTTCTGGGTCAACAGTCGCCGGCTTACCCGCTTGGGCAGCTTTAGGAGACTTTTCCTTTTGTGGCTCTCTGTTCTCAAACCCAGGTGGTACAGAAGTTCCTTGCGGAGGTTCCTGAGCTTGCGGCGTTCTTCCGAAGATGTCCTTCATATTCTCGGGAATCTCAAATGGATTTGAGAACGGGACAGCAGGATTAGGTCCTGGCTTCGGCGTGGCATATTGTTTGCCCGCTTCGTCCGCATTGGCTTCCATTCTTAGGGCTCGTTCTGCGGCAGCCAGTTCATCCTGCAGTCTGTCGTTTTGTGCACTCATTTCAGCGATTTCAGTAATGAAACGCCGTTCCATACTCGCTTCGGTTTCTTCAAGAACTTGTTTGAATCGCATTCCAAGAAAATCAAGATGTTGTGCTTTGTTGCGTTCGCTCTCAGCAATCAGAGTAGTTCTGAGCTTAGCGATTTCCGACTGATGTCGTTGTTGGAAAATTGATTCCAGAATGTTCATTTCATTCCTGCATGTTGCAACTTCGTTCAACAAAAACTTTTCCCTTTGGGATGCGTTGAACTCAAATTCCGCAAACTGTGCTTCGCATTCTGCCATCTTCACCTCATGAAGGCGCTCGGCCTGTTCAGCCATGCCAGCCATTCTCACAAGATTATCATGCGATTGTTGGTTCAGAATGCTTGCGTGTCTTCTTTCAGCATCTGCCTCCGTTCGCTCTATTGCCATTCTTTGTTGTTCGGCTGTTTCACCCTGGTTCACAACATTGTACAAGGTATACTGTACGTTTGAGATGTCGACCGTTGGATTTGAGACAAATGGAGATAGGGTAGGACCCACTGGACCGAAGATCCTATCAAGTGCTTGGGATCCTGAGCTCGGTGCCGTAGGGCCCGCGCCAGCTGCTGTAAGTTGTTCATCAAGCAGTCGATCTCTTGTTTCGTCGTCCATCTCGTCCGATGATACTTCGGTTGTTTCTCCCTTCTCAGTAGTGAGCAGAGAGGGCGAAGTGCTCATGTACCAATGTGAATACCAGTGTAAGAATACCACGGAGACAAAGTCAGCGAATACGGCTGATAACCTATAGAATACACCAAAACCGTTAAGCCATGAGCGAGACTACGGCTCTTTTAACTCAGAGGGCTTGGGCACGAACGTCACGGTATAGTATACACAACATGATGACTGTACACGACCATACAAACTCCTACGCAAGCTGCGATGCAAAACTACAGCTATAAACACACTAACCACAACATGTTCCTTATTCGGCCGCAAAGTTTCAGTTCAAGCGCACTACTGGTAGAACACATGTCTTAAATCCGATATTAGTGAAAATTAGCAATCCTCCTCATACTCCAAATCACCTAATCACAGTGGGACTGAATCCAGTTCACAGGTCTTGTTTCTGGCTCACAGTTCAGTGACACCCTGCGAGCTGCGACGACGGCACACAAAAGACAGAGTGCAGCGTGAGACCTGGCCACTCTGCAGCGCGAAATAAACCAACCACAAGTGTAGTGCTACTCTACCTACAGCTGCGACCAGGACTGTGCACAGAGCAGGCAGACATGATTCCGACAAAGACAGAGAGACAAAGAGACAGAGAGAGAGCGGAACACAGAAGGGCAGAGATAGATTGACAGGTACGTCGGCAGATAGAGAGACAATTAAATAGAAAGCAAACAAGAGGAACAAGACGCAAAGAGAGCGAGAGAGTGAAGCCAATGGGAGGGACACGGTGACTGGCAGGCTCTGAACCGACGCAAAGCTGGGATCTCAAGATGCATTTACACAACGACTGATAGATTGGGTAAGTCCCTCCCGACCTATCTGCAAACAAGGATCTTGCATATCCAGCACCTGCCACATGAAAGGATAGAACTGGAAACTTTCCCTGAAACAACAGAAAGGCAGCGCCCCTCTTGCAGGTCCTCAGCACATCCGCACGAACAAGGCAAGACAGAGAAGCAGTTCCGCCAGCCGTTGGCACGGACAGCTTCTGATGCAGACTCGTACCAGACAAGCGCCACGCTCAAAGTGCAAGCCGACAGAATTTTGTCAGATGTGCCGTTGTTCCAAAAGCTTATGAAGCACACCTAGCTCCTACACGGACCTAAGACCCTAAATCCTAAAGCCCTAAATCCTCAACCCCCAAAGCCTCAAACTCCCAAACCCCTCAAAACCCCTTGAACTGGCTTGTCCTGAGACCCAGCCTTGGAGTAGATCTGATCGAGGCTATCCATCTCCGGCAAGAACCATTCGACTCTCACCGGGTCGTGGAAAGTCTGGCGGTTTGGGGATTTCGTTTTTTTAATGCAATGACCCTTTTCCATCTCTCGCAGAAGAGCAGGGCTCAGGTCGGGATAGGGTTTAGGGTCTGCAAACTATCCGAGAATGCATCAAGTGCAACAGCAACACAAAATGTATATCGGGGTCTTAACAGTCAGACTAGTGACTAGTGTTTTGGAGTATAGTACTACTTGTTATTGTATCCATATACCACGGAACCGTGACGAAACATATTAATATTACTATGCATTACGATTTTTCAGACGTCTAGGCTGTCCTGGTCTCTTCCGCAGTCTCCTGTTACCACAGGCTTCCCAATGCTAAAGGAGAGTTTCCAAAAATAAGGGACTCTAAAATTTGAAGATAGTACCCCAAATAGTAAATCTTGATCATGCGGACCCCCAAAAAGGTCCCCCTAACTTTCAGAAACTCGCAAATCTGTGCAAGAGCCTGCCTGTCCATCTGCAGGTTCCGGTGAATAGATGACCTCCTGGTAGTTCGGCTTGCAGGACTTGCCATACCACCTGTGTCCAGCAGGTCAACGCGACAACCCTAAGCCTAACCCTAAACCCGAAACACCGACCCTGAAACGTAAACCCTGCAGCCAACCTTATAAACCTGAAAACCCTACATACTCTAAGCCCTACACCATATAAACCCCAAACAACCCTATGGCCCAACGCTGCTGCATGAGAGTGGAAGGTCTGTGAAGTCTTGCAAACCGGTGCGATGACTCTTCGCCGGGTTGCATCAGCATAGAGCCACGGTTTGGGGTTTAGGGGCTCGGGTCAGGGTTATAGGGCTGACGGTTTGAGGTTCTGGTTTAGCCTTTAAGGTCAACGGTTTGAGGTTTGGAGTTCTGGGCGTTGGGTAGCGGGTCTCGCCTCAGTCTAGAATCTCGACCATGCTTTGGGATGCGGGCTACATGTGGTTTAGCCCCACGACTCTAAAGCCCCAACTTAGGTACGTCTGAAGGCGTCTGGGGTGCCCGATGCAAGACTTGAGTCTTCTGAACCTCCAACTTTTCGATGATATAAATATGTGGGGCCAATCATAATAACATGGACCCAAAATAGTCGGATCTTCATGATAAGGGGGCCCTCCCAAGCCCTGAACATTTCAAACCTCATTCTGAAATACTCATTGCCGCACCTAAACCCTGAAGGCCTAAACCCTACAGCCTTAAACCCTCAAGCCCTAAGCTTTAAACCCCTATGTAAAGCGCTAATCGAACCCTAAACCCACCAAAACACTAAACCCTAAAAACCCTACATAGGGGCCTTAATAGAGACACAAACTATTTTGGTGGTTCCTTATTCTAATTCTAGGCCCCTTTAGTAAGCCTCAAAGCCCAGGCCTCTCCCAGGAACTTCGCTGTCCCGCGCCCGGAAATCGGCAGGAAGCTGAGGAGCCCGAAGAAACACCCTGTCGAAGTCGAAGACCACCTCCCCAATTGTGGCGTAAGTAGTTGTTAGGGCTTTAGGGTTTGGGGTATAGGTTTAGGGCTTGAAGTCGAAGGCCACCTCCCCATTGTCAAAGGGGAACAGGAGGGACCCTTAATTGGGACCCCTACCCTATAATGGGCTATATGATGGGTATATAATAGCTATATGAAGGGTGTATGCCTGGGGGTCCTTATTAAGGGTCCCTCCTTTTACCCTTGGACATTGTGGCGTAAATAGTTGTTAGGGCTTTAGGGTTTAGGGTTTAGGTTTAGGGCTTGGGATTTAGGGTTTGGGGAAAAAGGTTCAGGGCTTGGGGTCTAGGCTTTAGGGTTTTTTTATTTTTTTGGAAGGTCCGTATGGGAGGCTCAGGAATTAGAATAGGCGAAAGGGTTTCTGAGGGTTTAGGGTACAGGGCTTTACGGCTCATAGTGGTTAATCATCGGCTAAGCTCCTTGTTTGTGCGCTTTCTGTGTATGGATGTCCGCTACATAAAGCCCTGTCGTGTATTTTCAGCATGTAAAGGCTCAAGGGAACAGACACGGTTTCAAGCTGCAGTCGGTAGTATTGTAGAACTTACCAGTCTTCAGACACCATTGGCCTGAATCTGCTGCCCAAGTTGCCAACCATGCGGTTGTACCGGAGATAATCACCAGAAATCGGCAGTGGCTGGCTCCCGCCTCAACCACAAGGAAGCATCTAATGTGGAAGCTTAAATAATATCTACCAGGAATTGCTATATTCCTTAGAAGTCTTTATCATAGCTAGACTATAAGATACCCTCCAAACCCTATTCTAATCATGAAGGCTTCTATAGTTAGCAAGTTGGCAGTAACCCGCAACTTGATGCTCCTTACGCGGCGTGAGGCTGCTCATAAATGAAAGATAAGTCTTCTCGGTGGACACACACACCATGAACTGTGGCACACCTTTCCATAAACAAAACATGAAATTACTAGTTGCAGCTGAAGCACTCCCGAAGGCATTTAGCCTCCATGTCTCATTCGGATCCTAGGCGATGGCATACGAGGGATCCAGTGCCCTTGACCCGAAACGGTTTATAGAGATTGGCTGTCACTGTCGGGGTTCAGATACCCTTTAGACACCCTAAGCCCAATAAACCTCAAACCCTAAGCCTCAAACCGGGGGTCAGTATTGCTCGCAAGTGGAATCGGCTGGGTTGGGCTCCCAGCATACTTTCCGGCACAAGCAGAAGGCTGGACTTAGGGTTTACGGTTCCTGTGCTGTCATGACCGTAAATACAGATTTACTTCAGGTTCCCTATCCTGGAATACTGGAAGGCCTAAACCCTAATGCCATCTGAGACAACCGAAGCTCACGCTGAAGAACCTGCCAGATTCATGCAGCCCCGGCTGTCGGACTGAAGGAGTTCTGTAGTGTCGAGGAAGCTACCTTTCTAGTGTCCAATCTAATGCAGGGGCCTTCATAGTTAGAATGGGATTCTTGGCTCCTGAAGAGTATAATCATAATAATGAACCCTAATAAATGATATAGGTAACTACTTAGGCTTCTACAGTAGGGTGTCGGGCCCGCAAGCTTCAAGATATTGGGGCTTAGGTCTTTGCGTCTTTGTGACGATGAGGATTCAGACTTCGGTGCAGCGGTGAGTGTAGCAGTCGCATCGAGGGCCAGTTCCGCAAGAAGTGACGATCAGAGAAACTGAAAGGTTGACAATTGAATACCTGAGGCGGAACATCGAACATCGAAACCATAGATGTGAGCATGATGAAACACATCAGCGCGGAGACCTGAGCACGTGTATTCGTTCGCACCACATTGGGCCAGTCCTGGTGTGCGAAGTAAGCGGAAGCCGCAGCAACAACAAATACGGACCACCATCTAGAACGTGTTTCCCTGTGTCCGGAGCTATGTCGCAAGCCCGAAACAGCGACCATAAACTGAAACACCACTAAAACTCCCCAAAACCCATAATTATCTCCTAACCGTAATTGAACCCCGAGCCCGGAACCCCACATCTAGAAGGCAATCCTCCTCGAGCCCAACATCAGAGATCGAAAGACCCCACAAGCCCCTAAATCATCGGATTCCCAAACCGGACCACAAGTCTTCTCCCAGCGCAGTGTACATCCTAAATTTCCTAGCTGCCTAAAGCATCATAGCCTGGATCCTCCAGTCACCTCTGAGGCCATGATTCGCAAACGCTGAACCTCAGCATGACATAATCGAGTGAGGAGCCAGGGCAGCCCCTGTAAGGAGAATCCTCTCCACTCCTTTCGCAAAGGAATAACTTACCTTGGGTCAGTAGGGAATGGAGGAATGGGATATAATCATAACTACTATCACTACCATTCTTCCATCCCCTACTAACCAAAGGTAAGGTAATCGGACCTTCGTGATAATCTGTTCTGTGAACCCTGCCGAATGTGCTGCCGAAGGCTCCGACACAGTCCCTGCGGACAGGTCGAACACGCTGGCGACGGCGATGTCTCTGCCCTCAGAGTACGACCAGACCTGAGATCGAGTGCAGAGGATCGGAGCTTAAGGCTGGGTGTACTTACAGTAGAAGCCCAAAAGTTGGAAACCCCATAGCCTCAATCCTTAAGAGCAATGTATAGGGAATCCCGCACTATTTGGCCTTAATCAGGTTTCCAACTTTCTGGGGTTTACTATACCTTTGGTTACTAGGGAATGGAGGAATGGGGTACAGTTATAACTACTGTTACTACCATTCTTCCATTCCTGACTGAGCAAAAAAAGGTAAGGTAGTGCAAGGGCAACAGTGTAGGGTAGGGTTCCGGGGGAGACAAAGCAGAAATGTACCAAGTAGTACTGAGCACTAGTGTCAATTGTTATTAAGATGTCCATGTCTTTGGGGTTTCATCGCAAAGACATGTTGGATGTGCTGCTCTAGCAGATCGCATCGACAAACTCGTCCCTATCGGTGTCTGTGTGTACATATACCTGGACCCTCGGGGTCCGCACTATTTCAGGCCACTTGTGCAAAGCCTAAAATTAATGGCGACAAGAAACAGATCAGCCCCATTAAGGATGTATCAAGATAGATCAGCCCAACTCTCTTCGATGCCCACCCAAGCCTCTGCGAAACTGACACATAAGCTCCCAGATCTTTTGGCAACTCGCTGTTGCAACTCGTAGTCTGCAGTGAAGGACGACTCGAGGAAGGTATTATGATTTCAAGCATAAGAAGTTGTTCTCACGGCACAAGATGCTATATATGATGTATACTCGGACACCCAAATACATGTTGTGTCGTTGCAAAGCTTCGGGTCGTAATACCCCCTCACCTCACTCGCTGGCGGCTTTGAGCTTGGCAGGGTTTGGGCTTGAGTCACTGTAGCTTAAAGCACCGAGATACTGTGCTTCAACTTCAGGTATGAGGCTAGATGCTGCGGGTCACCTAAGTTCGGGTTTAGGAGTACCGAAGATAAGCTTCAGGTTTGAGGCTAGGGTCACATAAGTGCAGCTTTAAGCTAGAAGGCCAAGCATTGTTTCAAAGCCTTTGTGCATAGCGGAAGCAGGGCCTGCACTTCGGAGCAACTACGGGGCCAGAACCTGGGTTTGGAACTTGAGATGGTAAGGGATCCGTGTTATGATAATTGTATATATTGGGCCCGAAAACCCTATTCTAATCAATAAGGCCGCTATATAAGGGTTTAGGGCTTAAGTTTGGCAGTGCTGCCTCCCAGCTGATCGCACGAGTCTGGGTTCAAAAAAAGTTTAAGGGTTAGCTTAAGGCTGAGGGTTTAGGGGCTAGGCAACTCTGAACCTTAGAGTTCCGGCTATGGCCGCCGCTGCTTCCTCTTCGTCGAGGCGAACCTACTCCTCTTAAAAAGCGCCTTGGTTTTAAACATGATCCTGTCAAAAACACGTTTGTTAACCAGGCGTGCAGAGACTTTGCGGGCTAAGCGGGCTACTTTACCAACCATATCTTCGTTGCTCTCACATGAGAAAGCCAGGGGCGAAAGTACCCGCTCATTCCCGCCCCTAAGAGCGTGAAGCATTTCTTGGCTCACATGATGTAAGCTGTGAAACTTTGGCTTGATGCCAAAGGCTCTGATGTCCAGCTCCTTGCTTTGTATAGCACAAACCATATAACCTCGGATTGTTGTCGACAAGGCGTGCTGGGCTCGCTGAGCACAGTGACGGGGAAGCCAAAGCCGGTGACTATGGATGATACTGAAAAAGAGGAGGGACGATTCCAATGTACCTTCTATTGCTCGGAGCAACCGTTTGTGGGCCGGCTTTGGCTTCACCTGGGCACGAAGGAAAAACAGAAGCCACTTCGAAAGAAGGGTGCAGTCGGATCCCTTGACATTGGCCCAAGGAAACTTAGCCAGCGTTTTGCAGTTGAAGTTGAGCTTAGTGAAGGACCGAAGGGCCGCAGTGCCGCTGGATCCCAGGCACCAAAGACGGAAGCAAGAGTGGGCTCGGGAAAGGCGGTCGTCTATGTTCGTCGTGCAGCCATCTTCCAAGTCAAAGTACCGTAAAAGGCACAGAACGACCACCCCGCTTCCCACGAGGTCTCGGCCGAGACCCACTTTCCAAAGGTGGAAAACGTCTAAGCGAAACATGGCCGCACGACACAGCGGATCGAACGGGATGCTGCTGAGGTCTGGCGGGTCGTCGTCCGGCCACGGTTCCGACACACAAAAGGTGTCTTCCCAAACAGGCGTGTCTTCGACACTTTCGAAAGGGACATGCTCTTCACCGGCATTGCAAAGATGGCACATCGCTATGTCATTCTCTTTGCCGAGGTTACGGTAACTTCTTGTCAAGTGCCCAATCTTGTGGTGAAAAGCCATGTCGCCTTTCAGTCCTAGGAAGCCGCCGTAAAAACGGCCGTGCCCTTGAACCTCTACTCCATTGGAGCAGAGATCCTCCAAGTCTTCTGCTAGCAACCGAAAAGCTTCGAACATCAGGTCTGGATGTTCTTTGTACTCTTTGGTAGCCATACCACAACACAGAAACTTGGATAGGTACGGATGCCCCGTTGCATTGCAATGTTGCATTGATGCCCGAGCTCTTTTAGGATGTGCTTGCACATCGAGGTCGTTGTAGCGTGACAAAACCGGGTCATCCTTGCACGTGCAACATTGCTTCTTTGCAGAAGGGCGGCCAAGGCAGCTCTCTACTGTCATGATCAAATAATTCGATCGCTTCAAATACCTACCCTCGTCGCCATGCAACAGGAGAGGTATTGTGCGACGTAGTCTAGAGCTGGAAAAAACTTGGTGTCCCGGGTGAGACTCCCGGTAGCACTCCCAGAAAGCTTGCAACTGGTCACCAACATGAGTTGTAGTGCCAAACATAGCTTCGGGATACTTTGCTACCAGGAATTTCACCCATTGGCTAGGCCGGATCCAAGGCAGCTGGATTGGAGCTTCCCCTGTGCTTACGGCATAAGTGATGCACTCTCTTGGCACCCTTAGCCCCAAGTTGAAAGTACTCAACATGTCATGAACATCTCTGGAAGCATTGCCCTCATCCATTGCCCTGGAAAACTTGCCTCCCAAAGCATCGTGCCCTTCACTTTTGGCCGCCCTCACATTCTTGGCGATCGAGGAGGCTGTAGCCTGAATAGGTTTTGCGGGAGTGAAAAAAAGGTTGCTTTAGGGGTTTAGGGAAGTTTAGGGTTTAGAGATCTAAGGTTTTGGGGTTTAGGGGGGCAAGAGGGTTTCGATTGAAGCCCTGGTTTAAACTTGATGTGTGATGTTAGAAAACTCAAAACCCTAAAGTGCCCTAAAGGGCTTTGTGCCCTAAAGGATCTTTTCGTATGCTCTTGGATAGCATTGGTTTTCAGATACTGGTTGATCGCTAAACTTGATTTTCCTCTTTAGAGGCTTGTTAGCCTAGGCACCAGAGTTGCCGATGTAGATTTTGAGCGATGCCCAGAGTGGCGACAGATCAAGGGCGTAATTAGGGTTGAGAGGTTTAGGGGTTAGGCAACTAGAGGGATTAGATTGAAGGCCGGGTTAAAACGTGGTCTGATGCTAGAAGTTTCAAAACCGGAACAGACCTTGTCATGTGCTCTCGGATAGCATCGGCTTCCAGGCTTATATAATATATATCTATCTATTATATATAGAGATCATATATAATATATATATATATATATATATATATATTATATAAGCCTGGAAGCCGATGCTGTATATATAACTCAAACAAAGGATTAAGTAGATAAACAATACTAAAGCTTAGGGATCTTGTTGGCGCTTTTCGACGTCCTACAGGAATCGTGCCTCGGAAGATTATCGGGTTTGGGACTTCGGCTTTAAGGCTTCGAGGCTTAGGGGTTAGGGGGGTGGTTTGGGATTAGAGGGTTTAGGGATGGCCTTCCGTTTGATTTAGGGTTTAGGGATTGCTTTCTGGTTTTGGGCATTGCAGTTCAGGGTTGGGGCTAAGTGAAGCACTCTAGGATGAAGGTTCCGGTTTGGGAGTTTGGGCCTAAGTCTTTCTCACTACAGCAGGAGATCCTACCACCGCATACCCCAGAAGATACATTTTAGCAACATTTTTATGATCTATACTCGTGTAACCTTGCTCCCCCAAAGGCCCGCAACAGCAACTCTGAAATTATGTATGTATACGAACGGCAGAACTTTGCCCTGCAGCCCCCTACGGCTAGTGAAGTAGAGAATTCGTAGGCCATGCAACAAAAGCGAAAAGACTAAACCCTACATCCTGACAGAAAGATTTAGCGATCACCCCGAATCATAGCTACATACCCTAAACCCACACCGCGGGAAACCACAAAACCCCACACCCTTACAGAAAGGTTTACCGGTCAACCCGAATCATAGCCACATACCCTAAACCCACACCGCGGGAAACCACTAAATCCCAAACCCTTACAGAAAGGTTTACCGGTCAACCCGAATCATAGCCACCTACCCTAAACCCACACCGCCGGAAACCACTAAACCCTACACCCTTACACAAACCACTAAACCCTACACCCTTACAGAAAGGATTAGCGATCAATCCGAATCATAGCCACATACCCTAAACCCACACCGCCGGAAACCACTAAACCCTACACCCTTACAGAAAGGATTAGCGATCAATCCGAATCATAGCCACATACCCTAAACCCACACCGCCGGAAACCACTAAACCCTACACCCTTACAGAAAGGTTTAGCGATCAATCCGAATCATAGCCACATACTTAGAAGCTGCCCCTACCCTGTAATAGTGACCATAAGGATTATATAGGATTATATTAGGGCCCTATTATATATTCCTATTATACCACTATTACAGGGTGGGGGCAGCTTCTAACACATACCCTAAACCCAACAGCGAGGTAACCCTCAACCGCGAGATCACTGCTGGGCACCAGGCCCCGTCACCATAATCTTCGGCCCATTGTTGCAACATCGGACCCGGCTTTGTACCTGGCATGGATCGGGATAATATGTTCAAAAGGGTGTTGGGCAGAAACTTCAGATCGCTTTCAAACTTCAGATCGTGTCTTTTCGCACATCCCAGCCCTAGCTTTGCACTTGCAACGATATGCGAAATTCGCACATCTAAAGCAGGTAATTAAACCTTGGGGCAAAAGCTTGGTCCTGGAACCTTCATTTGATCAGGCTACACTGCACAGGCCTAGCCTAGCTCGTTGCACAGTAGGTTTACCCCTAAATCCGCAGGATCAGCAGCCCAAATTTCGCAAACACATCGCCTTTAGCGACTCTAGTCTTTCTTTGCCTGTGCCTTTGCCTTGCCCTTTGCTTTTGCTTTGGCCTTAAAGGCGGCTTTAGCTTTGGCCTTGGGGCGAACTTCAGGTGCCTCACCTTCCGGAGCACGTTTGCTTCCTCGTGCTGGCTTCTCGGCTTCACCAGGACCAGGGCAGTCCTTCTTCATCGAATTGGTGCTGACAGTCCTGGGCATTTATTTTTAGGATTTCGTGCTCAGGGGCTATGGAGGACCCATAGAAGATGCATCATCTTGAAATCGTAAGTCCCAAACTTGGCACGGGGATCCAGCAGCATGCACTGCACACACCTAGGACCAGAATAAGAACCCAGGCTGCATGCTGCCGGTAAAGGCCTAGAGCAAGGCCCTGACAGGTTGCGGTTCTGCACCAAAGCAGACCGAAGCTTGGATTGCAACCTTTGCCATGCGGGAGCATTCAAAGTAGGGCAACTATAACCCTTTAACATCAAACGAGCTACTCGCCATCGTACCCATCCAGCATGCCCTGCTCGTAAAGCTTGGTCATCTGAGCATCTGCAGTTGCGAGGTTGTCTCGCATCTGGGTAAGTCGTTGCATCATCCTCGAATGCAGCTGCTTGGCGTGATAGCCGGGGCTTGAAACCAGCATTGAATTCAAGACTGTTTTTTGCAACCGGGCGGCTTCGTCACGAGGTCAGATTCCACACACAGCAACAGCTCGCTCATGCGGGCCGAAAGCTTAGCTAAGCATTTCTGCACGGCGGCTCCTGCTTTGGGCACTATTGACGAAGGCACCGAAACCTTCTCCAGGTCAGGGAAGCACTGCAGGGTCTTCTTGTCCACCCCATCTAGCGAAGGCCCCTGGTTTGCGCCACCAGCCGGTGCACTGCTGTTGCAGCCTCAATTGAGAACACCCCTAAACCAACAAAAAAAACATATCCCGAACTACCCTAAACCCCCTAACCCCGAATCCCTAAGCACCTCAGGCCCGAACCTTAACTCGAGATCATAAAGCCTAAAAACCTGAACCTGTAACCCCAAACTCGACAGCCTAAATAAAGCCTAAACCTTGGCAATGATGGGGCTTGTAGCTTGCCTACAGGCGAGGCTTAGCCACAAGCTCTAAACCCAAAAGCTCTTTCAGTGCAGCAAACAATGATAACCTTGAGTTGAAACTCTAGAACTAGTTTTAAGATATAAGAACAAACATACATGCAAGGATGCAAGCAGGGTTCGGTATTTACTTGTATATTATACTGTGTATTCTGCATTGCGGTTGCAAAGGTTGTTCCTTAGGATCAGAAGTGCAAAACTCGGTGGGGTCAGATACAACCTAAGGCTAGCAGAGCTGAGGAGTTACATATGTATAGGTAGTGGTCATGGAGTCATGGGGTTTAGGTCATCAGCATTATTGGTTGCTTGGGTGTTTGGATGTGTAGACGATGCTTTGTGGGGTTGGGGGCATCTTTATGAAACGGGCCCATGGTACGATCTCCCCCCGAAATAATTCTGAAGGTGCACCCTGCATATCCATCTTCCCCCAATCCATGGCGAGGTCTTTGTCCTCGATCTCGCCCTCCTCCTCTGCCTCCATCATTCGGCGGACGATGGAGCGGTGGGTCTTCCTTCATTGGAGGAAATCAGGATTGAGGGCTAGAGGGTTTTAGGGTTCAGCTTTTCGATTCGAATTAATGGCCTAAATTATATAGCCTAGTCTAGCACGGCAATATATGAGTTCACATTTTAGGTACGGGGTTTGAGGTTTCGGGTCTGGGGTCCAGGATCTATGGGTGATTTTGGCTTTCAGGGATTGGGGCTTCCTTTTACTGGTAGCGAGTGGTTATAGGGCCAATTGGGAATTCCAGTTTTCGAATTTGTAGATTAGCGCTTAGGTTGAAGAGGTTGTGTCTTTACTTATATAATATTTAAGTCGTGGTGCATTAAGCGGGCATATGTCGTCCAGCATATACGGTCTAGATTTTAGGGTTCCCCGGTGTTCAATCGCAGGACTCATGTTCAAGGTTCAGAATCTGGCGGTTGTGAGTTTTTCGAGAGGAGTGCAATCTTTCGGGGCCGAGGGTTTAGGGTTTAGGGTGCTAGGGTTTAGGGCTTTAGGTTTGAGGTTTGGGGCCTTGGGTTTAGGGTTTCGGGGCCGAGGGTTTAGGGTTTGGGGTGCTAGGGTTTAGGGTTTAGGGCCCTAGGGTTGAGGGTTTGGGGCCTTGGGTTTAGGGTTTCGGGGCCGAGGCTTTAGGGTTTAGGGTGCTAGGGTTTCGGTTTCGGGCTCGAGGGTTTGGGGTCTTGGGTTTAGGGTTTCGGGCCCTGGGGTTGAGGGTTTGGGGCCTTGGGTTTAGGGTTTCGGGGCCAAAGTTTAAGGTTCAGGAGGTGTAAGAGGAGTTTGGTATTAGATTTTAGGGTTTCGGGCCTTTATTTCGCATGGCAGCCATGTTTCTTCTTGGTACCGGTCACCTTCGTGTTGGTCCAATACATCGTCTTGTTCTCATACAGGGTGGTCCTGGCAAGAATATTTGCTTGTATGCCCTGTCCTATGGTATTCTTATGCGTATTAGTCCGTCATGACACTCGGAACAAGGTCACTAGGTCCTCTTGAACCCTTTCTTCCCCTCGCAGTGGGTCTTGACACCGGCGATGCGTTCCCTTAGGATCAGCAGGCACACACAGCGAAAGCATAAAGGGCTGCCACAAAACTGTTTGAAGCAAGGTTCTCCGGCCAATTGGCTTCCCTCATCTCATCCTCGGTCATGAACTCCCAGTCCTCCTCGATTTCAACCTCCTCCACGTCCTCGAGGGTCTTGTTGACCTTCTTCAGAAACTTTTCCTGGGCTGAACAGAGTCAAGCAGTACACGGAAACGAAGTTCACACCGGAGTGTTGCAGACTAGCGACCACATGATAGCCACAGCGTTCAAAAGCACGAACGACGGTCGGCCTTGAGACCTTGTTCTGATACTCTTTCACCATGGACTCGGGCACCAGGTAGCTGCCGTCTTGTCTGGGGCGGAACATTCGCCACATACGTTTGAAAATCGCACCCTCAGTGATTCTTGGCAACTCCTGGGGAGGCTCCGGAGCGTCAAACGTCATTTCATACTCTTCTTCATCAAAGCTCATCTCCACAGCCAGCATGGGGCCTTCATCAGGGCCTTGTGCCCACGTCATGTTCAAGGGCCGACCAGCAGGAGGCTCAGCAACATCACCACCGAAACCCTTGCCTTTACCCTCAGCACACTGTCCACCCTTCCCCTTGCCCGGCTTGGACGTAAGAACAGGCACCACGGCACGATCACCCGGAACAGGCGCCACGGCACGACCATCCGGATGTTCTTCATCCTGCATCGACAGACAAGTCATTAGTTACTCTATAGGTGCACAGCAACAACTGTCACAGGATGAACAAAATAGCAGCAAAACACACACGAGCAAGCACCAGTCCTGGCTACTCTGCACAGTCCCAGCAGTCTCAAGCTCCGATTGGGAAGGCGATCGATGCGTGGGAGTCTGAGGCGATTGCACAAACAACTGAGCCGGGGGAACATCATCCTCGGGAACACTCGTAGGTGCAGACTCTGGCAGGGTCAAGGACAAAGCTTTCATAGGCGAAGCCACAAGCCGAGGCGAGACGGGGTTCGGAAGGGTGCAGGCCAAAGCTTTCGTAGGCGAAGTCACAAGCCGAGGCGAGACAGGGTCCGGAAGGGTCGAGGCCCAAGCTTTCGTAGGCGAAGCCACATCAGCCCCCTCATCTCCAAGTTGCTGAGTGTCTGCATGCCTCAGAGCCCAAGCACCTGGAGACATATCAAGGTTCTTTACGTTCCTGCCACCAGAACGATGAAGTTGTGCAGGAGCCGGCTTCCGTGGCGTCTCGTCTGGTGCCGAGTCGGACACCGTGATCACTGGAAACAGGGGCTCGTCCAAAGCCGCAGCTCGCTCGGCAGCCTGCCCAGAAGCATTCCAAACAACATTGGTTTGGGGGTTGCGGCTTTAGGGCTTTAGGGGTTAGGAGTTTAGGGTTTAGGGATCGGGGGTTTAAGGCTACATCAAGGCAGAGGATCAATTGTAGCACTAGGACCACGGAAAATCGCAGCATTCCTAGTGAAAGTAGAAGTAGGTTCAGGGGTTAGGGTTCGTTCAAGGAACATTGGTGGAGGCTATATCAAGGCAAAGCAAACATAGTAATACTAAGACCACTAGTGACGACTGGTGGCAGCATTCCTGGTAAAAAGCACTAGTAGGTTCAGGGTTCGGGGTTTTTTTCTGGGTTTGAGGTTGAGGGTTTCTGGTTTCTAATGTAGAAGTAATAGGAGAAGTTGTCGGTTGTGGTGGCAGTAGTGGTGCTGATTTTCGGGCGGTGATGAGGTTGGTGGTCGAGATGTTTGTGGGTGCTGGCAATACTCGTGGCGGTGGCGACTTTTTGCTCTGCTCCCCTCGGCGACAACTCATATGCCTCTTCTGGGCACAGTTTCATTACTTTAATCTAGCTCATTCAAATCTAGAACACTGCCATCTCCCTGACTTCCATCGACCCCCACATATGTGGACTCTAACTTGGTGACTCTTGAATCCACTCGTCGTTGCTGCTCTCGGTCGTTCTTTGAGGGTGTTGCCACAGATCCTGCATGGTAGGACCTGCTCATCAAGGGTCCCAAGCTAAGTGAAGTAGACGACGATGATGATGTGCTGCCAAAGTCGCATCGTGAAGTGTGGCGGTGACCAAAGGAAATCTTGCACTTCGAGCAGCATGCCGAATATCCCGGGCTTGATAGCCTAACACATGTAGGCGTCCCACAGGTTTCCACAGCTTCCTGAATCAACTCAGGGTTTTGCCTGCCCAGTCGCCGTTGTGCTTTCTGACAGCGATCGGAATGTGCAGACTGCCCAGAAGCAGCGAACTCACAAGTCGAGCAGCAGTGTCGGTGTTTTTTTTTAGGGATGAACCGACGGTGGCATCCATGCGATGCACAAATCTGTAGCTGATACATTCCCCTTCCTGCACCCCCGGGCAATGTCTACACTACACCAAGGATGCACTTCATTCCTGCATACTGGATAAATCGGCGACAATTAAACCGAGTCTTGGATAGCATTTGAGGTTTTGGGGCCTCTTGCCTTGCAGAAGTCTTGCAAGTCCTTGAGCACAAAACCATTGTTGTGATGTTGACATACTGCTTCTTTTCATGCACCAAAAAAACCGCAGTAGGATCCTATAGTTTTAGGGTTTGGGGGGTCGATCTTTTGTTGTTGTTAGTGATGGCTGTTTGTATGTGCTTGTTATTGTTGCTAGTGCTGGTGCTGCTGGCGGTGGCGGCGGTGTGGTTGGTCGCGGTGGCGTCTGTGGCTGTGGTCCTTGTTGGTGATGGCTGTTGTTGTTGTTGTTGTTGTTGTTGTTGGTGGTGGTGGTGGTGGTGGTGGTGGTGGTGGTGTTGCTGCTTCTAACTCCATCAGGACCAACCCCTAAAATCCTAAAGTACCCGGACATCATTCAATACCCTCATCTTTAGAGCATCGATTTGAGTATGCTGTTCTGTACGAAGGATTCAGTTGCTTCCCGAGGAATGTGGGTGTGAGCACAGGCAGTCGGACCGAGAGGTCAGGGATTTGTTCGGGTTCGGGCTTGTCTAGTGGCTAGTGCTGAAGCAAAGAACTAATCAGCCTCGAGGAGGGCCAGCTCGGTCTCCATCTCCGCAAGGGCGGCACGTTCCAGGTTCAGGGTCATCTCTCAGCTAAGAAGCTGTACTCCTAGACCCCCAGAACACACTCTTGGACCAGGCACCGGCCCTGACACAGGCAGCAGAGTACTGAACATTCAGCATGAAGCCCAAACGTGAGCCACAATGAAGCAACAAGCTCAGTTCAGCCCTATCCCGATTGGGCTGATTTTACCGGACGCTTAGTTCCGGCCACTTCCCGCGTAGTTCCGGCCACTTCCCGGGCAGTTCCGCCCAGAAGTTTTCCCTCGAATTGCAGATATTTGCTGCTAGGCCAGTTCAGCCCAGATCCCGAAAGACTCCAGTACATAAGCTCAAGCGAACTCGGAAAGCTAGCCACCAGATTCAGCAAGTGTTTCGAAAGAGGCACGAGGAGGTGTTGTCCGCCACGAACAGGAGCTAGTAGTTCCTTGGGTGTGCAAACAGTGCAAACGACAACTTGCAAGGAACGGCTTGGCTTCGACAGCTGATTGGGCGGAGGCTCCGAAACTTGTCTGGCATTGACGGGAGCTGGCTGTTCCTTAGATAGATTGTACATTATGCAAAAGTGGCCGCAAAGCACTCGACGTTCAAAGCACCCATCTGCAGCCAACGATTTCGTAACCTATTTTTGGATCAGAGGCACAGTAACTTCAACAATCTGCGATCTCGCACCCGGCCATCCTGGAACCGGCTGTTCCTCGGTGACACGTTTTTGTTGGGTGCATTTAGAATCCATTTGGGGTCCTATATAAGCAACACCAATATATTTCTCAAGGAGTTTAAGCTCTAGGGAGTTATAGGAGTTTCATGAATGAAGCTGAAGCAGTACTAGTCTATAAGGCAGACACAAGCAGCGACTACTCGCTACGACTATTCGGGATACCGAGTGATAATCTCCATAAATTACATCTTCAGCACCAACATGGAAAACCAAAACCGAAAGGTATGGGGTGTCTAAGAGGCCCACGATCCTGATATCGAAATAACCCATCCTCAAATTCTAAAAAAAAATCCTTTTGCGATTGAGGCACTGGATGTTCCCCACGGTCAACTGGATGAGATTGTTCCTGAGATTTCACAACACGAAGGGGCCCCGGATCCTAAAACCGAAAACCCCATGCCAGATTCGCGAGCTGCTTTTGGATGAAGGCACTGGAAGTTCTCCGGGGCCAACAATAGGATCCGGTAGTCCCTCAGATTAACTAGAAGTTCTCGCAGGTCAATAGCATCCAGGGTTTCCTTAGATTTGGCAGGAACACCAGAATTACCATAGTTACCAGTAGTCACAGCAACCGTAATATCAGCATCGAACAGCCAGCTTTGCAAGCTACTTTTTGGGATGGAGGCACAGAAACTTGTCGCCGACCAACAGCATCCGGTTGTTCCTCAGATTTGCCAAAGGAAGACCCGTAGTGACTAGTAGTAGTGCTAGTGGTTGTAGTAGTCGTAGTAGTCGTAATAGCACTAGTAGGAAGTAGTAGTAGTAGTAGTAGTAGTAGTAGTAGTAGTAGTAGTAGTAGTAGTAGTAGTAGTACGGTTGATGATATAAATCCTGCATTACCTTAAGGACCCTAAACTATGGGAATAATGGTATATTCCTAATTATGGGTAATGCAGGATTTGTATCATCAACAGTAGTAGTAGTAGTAGTAGTAGTAGTAGTAGTAGTAGTAGTAGTAGTAGTGGTGGTGGTAGTAGTAGTAGTAGTAGCACACAAACATAAACACATGCAACGGGTACATGTATTTGCATCTAATTATCGTGCACGTAATTACACTAATTACGTCCCGTTGCATGTTTTTGTGTTTGTGTGCTGCTACTACTACTACTACTACTACTACTACTACGAGGACTACTACTAGCAGTCGAGTACTCTGCCAATCACAATGTCAAGAACCACATCTTAAAACTCGGAAGCCCCGAATCCTAGTCAATCCCCTGGTGTCCCAAACACACCCTCACTCCAAACAAGGGAACATTTGGTTGCCATGACTAAAAGGGCCTCGGCGGAAACAGTGGGTCCGGGGTTTATGAAGTAATGGGTTTATGTCGGTTGCCACACTTTTGCTTACTGCAGCTAAGGTTGTGGATAGCTCCGGTCAAGAGGGTGTTAGATTGACGGGGTTGCTGAAGGTTGTAACTGTCTGGATGCAAAGCATGCCTTCAAGGTCTGGGCTTTCCGGGGTTTAAGGATTCGGTCGGCAGTTTTGGGCGTGGTGCAGCAGGGATTTTTTGTAGGCCTGGACAAGGTTTAAGGATTGGGTTGGCAATTACAAGCGTGAGGCTGAGTACTTAGGGCTTAGGGCTCCGAAGGGGTTTAGGGATTCAGTTGCCAAGGTAAGGCATCAGGTGCACACCCAGACCCGAAACCCCAAGCCGTGAACCCTATACCAGGCTCCGGGACAAGGGCAGCTGAGTGTTCGGTAGAATAAAACCCAAAGCCCAAAGCTATTGTCAGGAATTCAGCCACGAAAC